TATTGATCTACTCACATTTGCATGTTTTCGAACTGCTAGGTTGGCAGAAGTTGGGGCTGACAGCAGAAGCTCACACTGCTCCCCAGATTCAACCCTGCGACCTTTCCATCAACAAGCTCAGCGCTTTAACCCACTGCACCACTGGGGACTCCTCTACCAACCTAGCAGTTTGAAAATATGCAAATGTGAATAGATCAATAGGTACCACTTTGGTGGAAAAGGCAAAAGATGCACCCATGCCCTATACATGATCAGGAGGTATATATGGACGTGGGATCCTCAGCTTGGAAATGGAGAAAGAGCACCTTCTCCAGAGCCGGAGATGAAAGGAGAAGCCTTTGCCTGCGTATTTGTCATTGTATGTCATTGTAACAAGACATTGACTGTTTGCCTGTGTCTGTTTGTATAGGGGGGGGGGGGGTTGTTAAAGATTTCCCCTGACCCACTTCTATTTATCACAGGACACTGAAACTACACAAATGTAATGATATAAGTCTCTGTAGGTTACGTGCCAATTTACAACTCCAAATTGAGAACGGTCTTGATTTGACAGGTGCTGAAGTGGTGTGAGGTTTAAGAATGGACCCAATGGAAGACAGAGCAGTCCTCAAATTTCTTTCCTTGAAAGGCCGCACACCAAAGCAGACAGTCAATGAGATGAAAGAGGTTTGTGGTGATGGTTCTCCGTCATATGATGGAGTCAAGAACTGATATCATCCATTCAAATGATGATGAAGGCTTAGAAGGCATGATCATCAAGTTTGCAGATGACACCAAATTGGGAGGGAGAGCCAATACTCCAGAGGACAGGAGCAGAATTCAAAACGATCTTGATGGATTAGAGAGATGGGCCAAACCTAACAAAATGAAGTTCAACAGGGACAAATGCAAGATACTCCACTTAGGCAGAAAAAATGAAATGCAAAATTATTATTATTATTATTATTATTATTATTATTATTATCCTGTATATTTGCATTACTTTTTTCTGCCTAAGTGGAGTATCTTACATTTGTCCTTGCTGAAATTCATTTTGTTAATTTTGGCTAATCAGCTCTCTAATCTGTTAAGATTCAGCCTAGGTTGTGACAGCCACAAAAACAAAGTTTCTGGAGTAGAAGAATGATTTTCAAAGTAAGGGCTTCTCAATGAAACAGGAAAGAACACTTCCAAATCAGGAACAGACCATTTTTCGAATGTTGTTACATAGTGTTATCAGGTGGGAAAACCTTCAAGCCCCAAGCTTCCTCTCTTCCACCAATGTTTCTTTGTACTTCATCTACTCGGGAGACTAGATTTCCTCAGGTATCCTCATAATGAGGCACATGGGGTGAAGTCAGAGCTCAATTAATTGATTTTTTTCTTTCTGTGTTTTTGCCTCTCTGGCAATCCCAGGTGGTCATGTTCCAAGGAAAAAGGAGCCAGAGGGAAGGGTTCACTCACCAGCGTAAATCAATGTATCCAAATCCTGGCGTAGACTAGGCATGGGCAAACTTGGGCCCTCCAGGTCTTTTGGACTTTAACTCCCACAATTCCTAACAGCCTCAGGCCCTTTCCAGCTTAAGCGACTGAGGGAGAAAAGGAAGGGGCCTGAGGCTGTTAGGAATTGTGGGAGTTGAAGTCCAAAACACCTGGAGGGCCCAAGTTTGACCATGTCTGGTCTAGGCACTAGACTCCTTTAGATGCAGCCCAGAATCCATTGGTTGTTTTAGCTGCTGCATCACACTCTTGGCTCATTTTCAGGATGTTGTTCACTAAGACTCCCAGATCCCTTTAATGTGTGACTTTGTTGTTGATCCAGGCATCACACACCCTGTATCTCTGCATTTTGTTTTTTTCTGCCTCGGTGAAGTATCCTACATTTCTCCCTGTTGACATTCATTTTGTTAGTTTTGGCCCATCAGCCATCTAATCCATTGAGGTCCCTTTGGATCCCGATCCTGTCTTTTGGAGTATTAACTCTCCCTCCCAGTTTGGTCCCATCTGCAAACCTGGTTCACATGCCCTCAAGACATTCATCCAAGCCGTCAATAAAGAACCTGAACACCCCTGAGAGGCCCAGGACAGAGGTCCCTTGACGGCACCCAAAGAGAGGAGGAACCTTTGGGGAGAAGCACTCTTTGGGAGAAGCACTCTTTGGGTTTGGTTGCTCAACCCATGACAAATCCACCTCACAGTCGTATTGTGCAGCATACATTTTCCTAGTTTGTTTGCAAGGAGATCATAGAATCATAGAGTTGGGAGAGACCTCATGGGCCATTCAGTCCAACCTTCTGCCAAGAAGCAGGAACATTGCATTCAAAGCACCCCTGACAAATGGCCATCCAGCTTCTGTTTAAGAGCTTCCAAAGAAAGAGCCTCCACCACACACCGGGGCAGAGAGTTCCACTGCTGAATGGCTCTCACAGTCAGGAAGTTCATCCTAATGTTCAGATGGAATCTCCTTTCTTGTAGTTTGAAGCTATTGTTCCATGTCCTAGTCTCCAGGGAAGCAGAAAACGAGCTTGCTCCCTCCTCCTTGTGACTTCCTCTGACATATTTATACATAGCTATCATGGCGGACCTTGTCAAAGGCCTTTAAGGTCTTTGAAGGCCCCCTACAATTGTTCACTCCTGACATAGGCAAATCTATTTGATCTCCTCCAGTTGGAACTAAAAAAGGAACAGTTTCCCATTGCAGGGATTTACACTATGTATCTCCGTAGCTTGGTGGACTATTATTGTTCTTATATTTGCATCCCCTTTCCTAATGATTGCCCCACTTGGGATTCCCTTGTCCCCAATTAAGGCACATATTTTCCATTTTGTTCCTGCTAGGCAAAATGTAGCTGCATGGATTTCTTTTTTACTTCTTATCCTTTGTACTTTTTTAGAAGATGAAACTTTGTAAGCTAGTTAGCTCCAAGACCTCTTCTATCTAGAACAGTCTTTCTCAACCTTCCATATGCCACGACCCCTTAATATAGTTCCCCATGTTGTGGTGACCCCCAACCATAAAATTATTTTCATTGCTACTTCATAACTGTAATTTTGCTAGTTATGAATCATAATGTTAATATCTGATATGCAGGATGTAGTTTTATTAACTGGACCAAATTTGGCACAAATACCCAATATGCTCAAATCTGAATACTGGTGGGGTTGGGAGGGATTGATTGGGAGCTGTAGTTGCTGGGATTTATAGCTCACCTACAATCAAAGAGCATTCCGAACTCCACTAACGATCGAATTGAACCAAACTTGGCACGCAGAACTCCCATGGTCAACAGAAAATACTAGAGCCCCCGGTGGCACAGTGGGTTAAACCCCTGTGCCGGCAGGACTAAAGACCGACAGGTCGCAGGTTCGAATCCAGGGAGAGGCGGATGAGCTCCCTCTATCAGCTCCAGCTTCTCATGCGGGGACATGAGAGAAGTCTCCCACAAGGATGATAACACATCAAATCATCCGGGCGTCCCCTGGGCAACGTCCTTGCAGACGGCCAATTCTCTCACACCAGAAGCACCTTGCAGTTTCTCAAGTCGCTCCTGACACGACCAAAAAAATTGTTTTTATATAGATTATACTATATGTAATTGTTTTTTACTGTATTTTATCTTGTGGGGCATTGATTGCCAAATGTAAACTGCCTCGAGTTGCCTCGGGGCTGAGAGGGGCAGTATACAAGTATAGTAAGTAAGTAAGTAAGTAAGTAAGTAAATAAATAAATAAATAAATTCTATAGCTCTATGACTAGATGGCCATTTGTTGGAAGGGCTTGAGTTGTGTCATTCTGCACAACAGAATGAGGTTGGACTGGATAGGCCTTAGGGTCCCTTCCAACTCTATGATGCTGTGATTCTATAGTTCTACGGCCATCTGATGGGTGGGCTTGGGTTGTGTCTTCCAACAGAAAATACTAGACAGAAAATACTAGACGGGTTGGTGGGCATTGACCTTGAATTTTGGAGTTGTAGTTCACCTACATCCAGAGACACTATGGACTCAAACAATGATAGATCTGGACCAAACTTGGCATGAATACTCAATATGCCCAAATGTGAAGACTGGTGGAGTTTGGGGAAAATAGACCTTGACATTTTGGAGTTATAGTTGCTGGGATTTATAGTTCACCTACAATCTAAGAGCATTCTGAACGCCACCAATGATAGAACTGGATCAAACTTCCCACACAGAATCCCCATGCCTTGAAGGGACTCGTTGGCATGAGCCTCCCTCCAACCTTGCCCACAAATACGCACCATGCGCTGAGCACGCCTGCTCTCCCCTTCCTGCTTGGAGTCTCAGAAGCAGACCTCACCTTGACTGAGAGGTCAGCTGAGAGGCCGGCCAATCACAGTGGAGGAGAGCTTTTGATGGGAGGATTCGCCATCTGTTTCCAGAAAGGAAGAGAGATCTTCAGCTATCTCTGCCAAAGGGGTTCCTAAGGCTATCAGAAATATGTGTTTTCTGATGGCCTTTGGCGACCCCTCTGAAACCCCCTTGCGACGCTTCCCCCCGGGGTCTCGACCCCCAGGTTGAGAAACACTGGTCTAGAATATATTCCTTTTACTTCAGTAAAAATTTTGAACCTAAAGTTCTGACTCTGCAGTCCCATGCCATCCTAAGGAATAGGCTTTGGCAAACTTGGGACCAAACTTGGGCAAACTTGGATCCAGATGTTTTGGACTTCAGCTCCCACAATTCCTAACAGCCTCAGGCCCTGTGGGAGTTGAAGTCCAAAACACCTGGAGGACCCAAGTTTGCCCAAGCCAGGAATAGAAGCTTATCCTAGCTCATCACATGCAAGTTTCTGCTGGTTCTGAAGCTTATTTCTGGTACTCTGCTATATTTATGGTGGAATTTCCCCAACTGAGGGTTATTTTTGAGCCTAACAGCTCAGACTCCCCAACAGTTCCCATCCCAATCAAGCTTCTGTCTTCATCCAAGAATTATCCAGCATTTGTTCCCCATTTATCCAGCAAGACGGGCATGCATCCGAATCAAAAAGGCTGCGCCGGCCGAGTCATCTCCCTTTATTTGACATGAGACCACTCATTATTATTGACCATTGAGGACTTTTAAAAAAAGAAAGAAATTACCACCTGAGATTAATAGTCAGCATTTTGTTCATGCACGAGAAAGAAGGGAGGGAGGAAAAAACCCAATGTTTTGAAAGCAAAAATAATGGATACCATTTGGGACCCCCCTCTTTCTGCAGAGATTCTGACCACTCTGCATCCAACAATTGATTCTGAATCTGGGGAAACAAGGCAATGAGTTACAAACATGGAGGTTTCCATTTAAAAAAAACAAAAGGAAAGGAGACAGCTTTGTTCCAAATGCAGTATTTACACCATTCTCGCACGTAACAGGGTTTGTTAGCTGCACCACAGTGAAACCCCTGAACGGTGGGTTTGTTTGTGTCTTACATTTGGGCCTGGCTTCTAGACGCTGCTGGTCTTTTCGCTGTTGATGGACAGCTCTGAAGTCCCGACATTCATTTCCACAGCGTCCTCCGTCTCATCCAACTCCATGCTGTTGAGTTCGTTCCCGTTTCGGTAACTGTTCAAATGGAGTTCCTTCGCGTAAAGTGCCGCCGTGGAGACGTTGGCGCCCGGGTTGTGCCTCTGCGCCACCTTCTTCCCACCGTCGTAGCGGCAGCGGATGTAGTTAGAGAAAGCCCTGCGGTAGATTTTGTTGAAGAGGGTGTAGACCAAGGGGTTGACCCCGGAGCAGATGTACCCGATCCACACAAAGACGTCCAGCAGCTCCCCCAGGAGAGCCTCGTCGCAGGCCTCCTTGCAGAGGACCGACATGATGTTGGTGATGAAAAAGGGGCACCACATGATGAGGAACAGGAAGAAGACGATGCCCAAGACCTTGGAGGCCCTCCTCTCATTGTTGATCGACTGCATGGTGCCCTTCCGGAAGAGCACCCCTTCCTTGTTGACCGGGGAGTTCAAGTGGGAGACTGCCTCGTGGTTCTGGAGCATGGAGAGGTGCTCTGCGTTGGGCTCCTTCTTGAGGCAGTTCATGCTGCTCCGCCTCTGGTGCTGCTGCTGGTGCTGCTGGGACTTGGGGGTCTCTCCGTAGAGGAAGACGGAGGCCTGCTTCTGCAGGACCTGGATGGTCAGGCAGTAGGCAAAGACCATGATGACCAAAGGGACAAAGAAGGCCACAAAGGAGCCCACCAGGACAAAGTTCTCGTCATTGAGGACACAGCTGCCGTTCACAAAGACCCGGGAGTCGTCCTGCAAGCCGATGACCGGGATGGGCATGGAGATCCCTGGAGGAAAGGCCCAAAAGGCAAAGAGAACAAACGGCATTGTTTCACAGAAGCACAGAATGGGAAGAGACCACAAGGGCCAGACATTATGCAGGAAGGCACAGTCAAAGCATTCCCAACAGATGACCATCCAGCCCCAGTGAACTACAAACCTATGCCCAAAATTATTATTATTATTAAACTTTATTTGTACCCCGCTAGCATCTCCCGAAGTACTCGATGCGGCTTACAAAGGCCAAGGCCTCAATACACAACATAACAATACACCCAGGCCGGTAGCGAGGGGGGGGGGGGTTAGGGGTTCAACCCCCCCCCCCGAAATGTTTCAGATTTTTTTAAAAAACCTGCTTTACTCATGAATTTTAACTGGTTAACCAAATCCCCATGCTAAGTCTATGAGATGCAAAAAATCAAGAGTCCCTCCAGAACTGCAAGCACTATCTCAAGCAAATATTGGCAATTTATTCACACTGTCATTACTTGCAGCAATAGCCGATGTAGTTGTTCTGGTACAGCTGTACCAGGAGCTCCAACTTTATTTGCTTTGTATTAAATGTTTGCTTGCAGTCCTAGGTTTCAGGGACTCTGCAGATAGGTGGCTTCTTTGGTTGCAGTCATAGGGCAAGTCACCTGTCCATCATTGTTAAGTTTTGGTCCCGTCCCTTGCTCAGGGCAATTGGGAAGGGAAGGGGACCATTTTTAGTTAGTCTCAGAAAGGAAAGCTTATGTATAAGATGTGTGCAAGCTTCCCCTGTACAAAAGCTTCAACCCTTAAGACCTTCTGGGGAGAAAGGTCTTAAGAGTCTCCAAAGAATTTCCAGGAAAACAGCCCTAAAGACCAAAGAACTCCAGCTGGAGAACATCTACTGCCTTGCTGGTAGGTCCACTCGGCGTTCGAGACGCAGTTCGACCCGGTAGCGGAGCCCACATCAGTAAGGGTTAGATTACAGTCAGCCTGGGAGAAGTTAAAAAGGGGATTTTCCTTTAAAGAAGAAGTTATTGAAGACAGTTGCCTGTCCTTCGTGGGCAAGATTAGGAATTCACCAGTTGCCTAAAAGCTTGGAATCATTTGCTGAAGACAAGAGAAGTTTCTTAGTATAGTAGTTTATGTAGTAGTAGAATGTTGTGTATTGTTCGATCTATTGTAACTGTCTTTTCTATGTTGTTGTACACCGCCACGAGTCGCCCTTGGGCTGAGAGTGGCGGTTAATAAGTGCAAGTAATAAATAAATAATAATAATAAATAATAAAAGACTTTGTTATACTTCTCAAGCCATCTAAAGACTGTTTGTGGTGGAAACCTCTGAGAACTTCTCTTTAGGCCCCCTGGCTTCCCGCTGGGCAAAGGTTGCACATTCTGTTCTAAAGACAATTATTTACAGGCCCAGCCCGCGACAGAACAGTAGTGAAGCAACCAAGTTGGGGGGGGGATGTTGAATGCTCTCATTAAGGAGGCCAGACTTGGTGGGGGTCGTTGACAGGGACGGAGCTGCAGGCTATTGAAGGTTGCTCTGCCCCCTGCTGTGCTCTTTGCTTCAGCGTGAGCTAGGAGGCAGGTTTCAACCCCCCCCCCCCCCCCGCGAAATTTCAACCCCTCCCGAAATTTTTTTCTGGCTACGGCCCTGAATACACCTAAAGCAAATTAAAACAATTAAAGCAGTATTAAAAACAACAAAACCACAAGCAATAAACAATACATCAAACAGGATAAAACTAGGCCGGGCCAGAGTAAAGGGTACAGGATTAAAAAGTGCTGATGTGACAGGTGATATGTAGGATTATAGGGCAAGTGCAGTGTGCAGTGTGCAGCAATCTTAGTTTTAATAACGTGCTTATGGGACTTGGTATTGGAGATTTCCTATTCGGGAAGGCACATCGGAACAGCCAGGTCTTCAAGTTCTTTCTGAAGACTGCCAGTGTAGGGGCCTGTCTAAGATCTTTGGGAGGGTGTTCCAGAGATGGGGGGGCACCACGGAAAAGGCCCTGTCTCGTGTCCCCACCAAACGTGCTTGCGACGCAGGTGGGATCACGAGCAGGGCCTCTCCAGATGAGCGTAGTGAACGCGTGGGTTCGTAGACGGAGATGCGGTCACGCAGGTAGGCTGGTCCCAAACCGTTCAGGGCTTTGTAGGTAAGCACCTGCACCTTAAATTGGGCTCGGAAGATAAACGGCAGCCAGTGGAGCTCCTTGAACAGGAGGGTTGACCTCTCTCTGTAGGGAGCACCAGTTAACATCCTGGCCGCTGCTCGTTGGACAAGTTGGAATTTCCAAGCCGTTTTCAAGGGCAGCCCCACGTAGAGCACATTGAGCTGCTCTCTGGGGAGCATTTGGACACCAACTAAGATGTCCTAGTGCACAACAAGAAGGCCCAAAGTGCTTTGGGAGCCACTGCTCTATGGACTTCCAATTGCAGGGAGTTGTCTTAAAAGGTTTGAAGAGGCCATAGAGCAGGGGTCCTCAACCTGTGGGTCCCCAGGTGTTTTGGCCTACAACTCCCAGAAATCTCAGCCAGTTTACCAGCTGTTAGGATTTCTGGGAGTTGAAGGACAAAACATCTGGAGAACCACTGCCATAGAGGGACATGAGATCATAATGTCTGATTCCACTAGATGGCTCTGCCAACCCATTGAGGGAGCAAGGATGGACCCATATCTCAAACACTTTGTTCCTAATGTTTCTGGAGACAACCCCTTTTTACTTATCTTCTACCAAGCCAGAAGGAGGCCTCAGTGGCACAATGGGCTAAACCCTTGTGCTGGCAGGAGTGCTGATGGTTCGAATCCAGAGAGAGCATGGATGAGCTCTCTCTGTCAGCTCCAGCTCCCCATGTGAACATATGAGAGAAGCCTCCCACAGGATGGTAAAACATCTGGGTACCCCCTGGGCAACATCCCTGCAGACGGCCAATTCTCTCACACCAGAAGCGACTTGAAGTTTCTCAAGTTGCTCCTGATATGAAAGAAAAACCCAAACCAGGATCCTGAGAGCATCCTACACATGCTTCGCTTCTTTCATGCATAACTCTACTTTTGGAGTCTTTATTCAATGAATGTACTCGATATATAGTTGAATAAGTTTTGTTTCTAATCTAACTGTTGGATTTGGAGATCCAATGGACCTCCACCCAACATCCCAAAGAGTTCTGATCATAAGCATTTGGTCCCATCTTCACAATACCCAAGGAGTTTGGGCAACAGAGTTGGCTTACTGACCATTGTCAATCCTCTACTCTCTCCCAGCCATTGAATGGTTTTGGAGATGGCAATTCAAGAAAGTAGTGCATTGATTCAAATCCGATGCACCATCAAATCTTGGATATGCCATCAGCCGGAGACCCCTTTCCCCACCACCAACTGTTGCTCTGGGCCAGAGTGAAGAGAGGGAAGGCCAAGGGACAATTCCACTTTGTCTCCTGTGCTATTCTAATAATATAATATAATATAATATAATATAATATAATATAATATAATATAATATAATATAATATAATATAATATAATATATTGTATATACATATAGTATTTATAATATTATAATGTAATGCAATATAATAATAATATGATATTATAATTATATATTTATATTACATGTAATATTACTAATAATATTATGATATAGTGGTATGGTGCAATATAGCAATGTTTAATGCTGATATTGTACTATGCCAATAATATAATATATTGTATGTAATATATACCTTATAAGCTGCTCTGAGTCTCCTTCGGGGTGAGAAGGGCGGCATATAAATGTCATAAATAAATTAATAAATCTAATGTGCACCTCAATCTAATGTGCACCCTATATGGCTCCGGCCCAGCATACCTGTCCGAACGCATCTCTTTCTATGTCCCGCCTCGGAGTTTAAGATCTTCCGGGGAGGCCCTGCTCTCGGCCCTACCTCTATCACAAGTGAGATTGGTGGGGACGAGGAGCAGGGCCTTCTCGGTGGTGGCCCCTCACCTGTGGAATTCACTTCCCGGGGAAATTAGGTCATCGACATCCCTCCTCTCTTTTAGAAGGAAACTAAAAACATGGATATGGGACCAGGCCTTTGGGTAATCTGGCAGATAGACAAAGGACAATGACGACTAGAATTGATAGGATTTGACAATGTGGAATGAATTTACGGATTCTGAGCTGGCGAATGTTGAACATTAGATTGGTTTTATTGATTGTGATATATAACTTGCTTGTTTTAATTGTTTATAATTGCTATTGATACATGTTTTATCTTATTGTTGTTGTTGGCATCAAATTGTGCCTTTTGTAAGCTGCCCTGAGTCCCCCCTCGGGGGTTGAGAAGGGCGGGGTAGAAATATGCTAAATAAATAAATAAATAAATAAATTTTCGAAACCCCGAAACCAAAGAAAGTATTTGCTACTGAAATTCATGCGCAGTGGCAAAAAGTGCATTCCGCAATTTGGCCAAAAAAGGCACACATTACAGTTGCCGCCTGCTTAGAATTCCTTCTTTAAAAGCAAAAATGTTAGAACACCAAAGCTTTCAGCAAAGGAAAGGAAAAGTTTGGGATACATCTATGCTGTGGAACGAATGCACTTTGATTCGGTGTTATGGAGTCCTAGAAGCTGCATTTTGATAAGGTCTTGAACCTTCTCTGCCAAAGGATGGGGATGCCTCACCAAACTACAAATCCCAGGATAGCATAGCATTGACTCAATGAAATGAAATAAGAGGTGAGGTTCCACAAAGAGGAGCTCCTGAAGTGGCTTCTCCCTTTGGTTTGGCTAGGTACTAAGGTAACTGTATGATGCAAATCTAATTTTGACAAGATCATTAAGTCTCAAAAGGTGAGCATTGGATTCCAGTCAATAGGGTCTATGAAAAGGAGCGTGGTAACTCCTGGTTAGGTCTTTGATGGTAGATCTCTAATGAATAACAGGTGCCTTCAAGTCAACTGTGGATTTATGGTGACCCCATACATGTGCCCACAGGATGGGGGTTCTGGGGGGTGGGGAAGGGTGGCCTACCGATGGAGATGGTCCAGACGGCGGCGATCTTCATCATGGCCTTGGTGCGGGAGTTGAAGCGGCTGTGCTCAATGGGGTTGCGGATGGCGACGTAGCGGTCAAGGGCAATGGCGCAGAGGTGCATGATGGAGGCGGTGGAGAAGAGCACATCTAGGGAAATCCAGATGGGACACAATTGTTTAGGCAGGGGCCAAGCATAATCTGAAACACAGAGAGGGGAAAGAGGGAGGGAAGGAGAGAGGGAGGAGAAGCGAGGGAAGAAAAGAAATGAGTCGGGGGAAGGACCGAATGGCACTCACCTCCTCCCTCCCACCCAAATGGGAATTGGTTGCATCCAAATGGTTGTGGTTGTGTATCTTCAGGTCTTATGGAGAGCCATAGTTTTAATACAGTGGTTCTCAACCTTCCTAATGCCACGACCCCTTAGTACAGGTCTTCATGTTGTGGTGACCCCCAACCATAAAATTATTTTCGTTGCTACTTCATAACTGTCATTTCGCTACTGTTATGAATCGTCATGTAAATATCTGACCCAAGCACTGGACCAAATTTGGCACAAATAACCGATATGCTCAAATTTGAATACTGGTAGGGTTGGGGGAGGGTTTATTTCATCATTTGGGAGTTGTAGTTGCTGGGATTTATAGTTAACCTACAATCAGACAGCATTCTGAACTTCACCAATGATGGAATTGAACCAAACTTGGCACACAGTACTCCCACGACCAACAGAAAATATTATGGAAGGGTTTGGTGGGCATTGACCTTGAGTTTTGGAGTTGTAGTTCTCCTACATCTAGAGAGCACTGTAGACTCAAGCAATGATGGATCTGGGCCAAACTTGGCATGAATACACAATATACCCACTGGTGGAGTTTGGGGAAAATAGACATTGACATTTGGCAGTTGTAGTTGCTGGGATTTATAGTTCATCTACAATCAAAGAGCATTCTGAAACCCACCAATAATAGGAATGAGTCAAACTTTCCACACAGAATCTCCATGACCAACAGAACATACTGTGTTTTCTGATGGTCTTTGGTGACCCCTCTGACACCCCCTCGCGACCCCCCCAGGGGTCCCGACCCCCAGGTTGAGAAACGCTGGTTTAATAGGACCAGATCTGGTTCAATGTTGGAAGCTAAATAGGGTCACTCCTGGTTAGGTCTTTGATGGTAGATCTATAATGAATAACAGGTGCCTTCAAGTCAACTGTGGATTTATCGTGACCCCATACATTTCATAAGTTTCCTTAGTCAAGGAAAAATCAGGCCCGTTCTACACTGTCATATAAAATCTAGATTTTTTTTTGGTCGTGTCAGGAGCGACTTGAGAAATTGCAAGTTGCTTCTGGTGTGAGCGCCGTTACCTTCCCGCCGGAGCGGTACCTATTGATCTACTCACATTTGCATGTTTTCGAACTGCTAGGTTGGCAGAAGCTAGGGCTGACAGCGGAAGCTAACACCGCTCCCCGGAATTGAACCTGTGACCTTTCGGTCAACAAGCTCAGCAGCTCAGCGCTTTAACCCACTGCGCCACTGGGGGCTCCATGCAGTCATGCCGGCCACATGACCTTGGAGGTGTCTACGGACAACGCTGGCTCTTCGGCTTAGAAATGGAGATGAGCACCACACCCCAGAGTCAGACATGACTGGACTTAATGTCAGGGGACTACCTTTACCTTTTTTTTTTCTGGTGTGAGATCCAGATTATCTGTTTTGATAGGTTTGCTAGTTCTTTCCTCCTAAATATAACCCACAATACCTCTTAACTGCTCGGAGATCAGAGTGAAGAGAGAGGCCGGGAAGGCAATTCCATCTTGTCTCCTGCACTGTATTTATAATAAATATAATATAATGTAATATAATGTATATAAATATAATAGTGACAATATTATAATGTAATATAATACCTACTACTAATAATATATTATAATTTTATATTACATGTAACATTACTAATAATATTACAGTATAATGTTATAGTACAATGTAATAATATAATATTAATATTGTGCTATGGTAATCTATATAAATAAAAATGTAATGTTCGTTTGTGGGATTAACATAACTCAAGAACCACTGGACGAATTGCCGCCAAATTTGGTCACAAGACACCAACGAACCCAAGGAGGGAAGCCTTGCCTCTGTCTATGTATTGTCTGTCCTTGTTAATTGTATAACGGCATTGAATGTTTCCCATATATTATTCCGTAATCCGCTCAGAGTCCCTTCAGAAAGATAGAGCGGAGTATAAATAGAGTATATTATCATCATCATCATTATTATTATTATTATTATTATTATTATTATTATTGTCGTCCCTTGCCACGCATTGCTGTGGCCTAGTTTGTGTATATGTGTTTTGTGTGTGTGTGTATATGTGTATTATATGTGGTTTTGCACATGCGTTGTAATGTTATTATTTTGTTATTTTATTTTTTGGGCTTTTTAAGTCTCTTCCATAATGTTTTTCAGTGTTTTTATAACTGATGGTCACTTGTTGGCCTGATAGGTGTCTTGTGTCCAAATTTGGTGTCAATTCATCAAGTGGTTTTTGAGTTCTGTTAATCCCACAAACGAACATTACTTTTTTATTTATTTACTAGCCGTCCCCTACCACGCGTTGCTGTGGCCCACATGGGGGTTCTGTGTGGGAGGTTTGGCCCAATTCTATCGTTGGTGGGGTTCAGAATGCTCTGTGATTGTAGGTGAACTATAAATCCCAGCAACTACAACTCCCAAATGTCAAGATTCTATTTTCCCCAAACTCCACCAGTGTTCACATTTGGGCATATTGAGTATTGGTGCCAAGTTTAGTCCAGATCTATCATTGTTTGAGTCCACTGTGCTTTTTGGATGTAAGTAAACTACAACTCCAAAAACAAAGGAGACTGCCCACCAAACCCTTCCAGTATTTTCTGTTGGTCATGAGAGAACTGTGTGCCAAGTTTGATTCAATGGTGGGGTTCAGATTGTAGGTGAACTATAAATCCTATAAACTACAACTCCCAAATGACAAAATCATTTTTGAGTGAAGGACATACATTGGGTTGTTAGGTGTCTTGTGTCCAAATTTGGTGTCAATTCGTCCAGTGGTTTTTGAGTTCTGTTAATCCCACAAACGAATATTACATTTTTATTTATATAGATCAGTGATTCTCAACCTCCCTAATGTCGTGACCCCTTAATACAGTTCTCTCATGTTGTGGTGACCCCCAACCATAACATTTTTGTTGCAACTTCACAACTGTAATTTTGCTGTTATGAATCGTCACATCGGCACAAATGCCTGATATGCCCAAATTTGAATTCTAGTAGGATTGAAGGGGAGATTGATGCTGTCATTTGGGAGTTGTAGTTGCTGAGATTCATAGTTCACATACAATCAAAGAGCATTCTGAACTCCACCAACGACTGAATTGAACCAGTCTTGGCACACAGAACTCCTATGACCAACAGTAAATACTGGAAGGGTTTGATAGGCATTGACCTTGAGTTTTGGAGTTGTAGTTCACCTTTATCCAGAGAGCACTGTGGACTCAAACAATGATGGATCTGGACCAAACTTGGCACGAATACTCAATATGCCCAAATGTGAATACTGGAGGAGGTGGAAAATAGACCTTGACATTTGGGAGTTGTAGTTGCTGGGATTTATAGTTCACCTACAATCAAAGAGCATTCTGAACTCCACCAAATTTGGAATTGAACCAAACTTGGCACACAGGACTCCCATGACCAACTATGAGAGTGCTGTGTTTTCTGATGGTCTTTGGCGACCCCTCTGATACCCCCTCGCGACCCCCCCCCAGGGGTCCCGACCCCCAGGTTGAGAAACACTGATATAGATGATGATGATGATGATTATTATTATTATTATTATTAGAGTATCTAAGGGAAGCCTTTGCTATTGGGATACCCATCCGAAGATAGCATCCATTTGTGCGTTTTTCAGCTGTGATTTACCAGCCTTTGTGTATTATTTTTGTCTTCTTTGTGGCCATAAATGCCCAATTGACTGTGTTCTGTGGATGATTTATTTCGTTTTCTAATCCCAGCTTGGTTGGTCGTTCAGCTCCTGCGCTGTGTTTTATATGACCCTTAATTAAATATATCTGTTTTGATGGACTCAATTCCCCTTGTTATCTGCCTTATATATTTTAATGGGTTCCCCTTCAGGTTGTTATCTGCTTCAGGCTCTTGCAATTGGATAAACATCAAATAATGGGAACAGTTCGGGGATATACGTATCAACGCCAGAACTATTGCTAGTAGTCATGCCTGAACAAGTAACCTAGCAAATATAATATCAGATAATGTTGCCTTTCTCAATGAGATGTTTAGGATACCTTTTTCAGATTTTCCGCCTAAATTATATACAATGCCCGGGTGATGCCCGGGTTAGGTGTTTTGAAAGAATAAATGTTAGATATAGTCATTGTTTGTTTTTGGATTTTATAAATGGTCCGTAAACGACATCTCCTATCATCTTTGGTCACCCCACCAGAATTACTCACGATGGGTCTGTGTGGCACGTTTAGTCCAGATAAATTATTGATGGGATTCAAAGAACTCTGTAGAATTGAGCGAACTACAATTCCCATGATCCAGGGTCAATCTCTCCCCCAAAGTCCAGATTCACCAGTACTTAAAATTGGTCATGTAGGGTCCATGTGCCAAGTTTGATCCAGATCTGTTGTCTGTTGGGTTCAGAGTACTCTTGGACTGTGGGTGAACTACAACTCCCAACATCTTGAGCAAATGCCTCCCAAACCCCTTCTGTATTTTCTGTTGGTCATGTGTCATAGAATCATAGAGTTGGAAGAGACCTCATGGGCCATCCAATCCAACCTCATTCTGCCAAGAAACAGGAAAATTGCATTCAAAGCACCCCCGACAGATGGCCAACCAGCCTCCATCACAGCAGAGAGTTCCACTGCTGAACAGCTCTCACAGTCAGGAAGTTCTTCCTAATGTTCAGATGGAATCTCCTTTCTTGTAGTTTGAAGCCATTGTTCCGCTTCCTAGTCTCCAGGGCAGCAGAAAACAAGCTTGCTCCCTCCTCCCTATGACTTCCTCTCATGTATTTATACATGGCTATCCTCTCAGCCTTCTCTTCTTCAGGCTAAACATGCCCAGCTCTTTAAGCCGCTCCTCATAGGGCTTGTTCTCCAGACCCTTGATCATTTTAGTTGCCCT